TTTGTTTTTCAAATTTTGCAACTGAATTACGGGAATGGTGGAAGGAATGAAGAGGATATTTGTTGTGTAATTGGTTAATGGGCTGTTGGACACTAAAACAAATCTTTGGGCCAAGTATGAAATAAGAAACCGATTTTACAAATTATGGTGGGTTGGTTAATGGTTGGTGGGCTAATGAACTAAAATTAAAATATTTCAACATTTTTTTGGGACTTTTACTGGACATGGGCTTGGACATTACTAGGCTACAGTCTAGCAGTGCTCTCTCTTCAATCCGTCTCTAACGCCGAGTTTCATTTTTACCCTTGCCTTACCTGTTCAAAACACGTTTTCAACTACAAAAAGAGGGTAAACTGGTCCATTTCATCTCAACGGCACTTATGATATTTAGCAGTTGTCGGGAAGCAATTTTGAGTAGATTTTAATAGCATGTTTGGTGCGGATTAAAATCTGATTTTAATTTAAGTCAAAATCAAACAATTAATATTATTCATATCTTTCATGTGTCCCACAACTTTTAATCATACATTTCAAAAATTTCTATCACAATCTACTAAAAAAATCTAATTTTAGTTCCACCAAACACCGTCTAATTCTTTTTTCAAACGTTGGACACAAAGGTGGGTTCCAACTTCAATGTGTGCAATTATTTTTGACTCAAAAATGATCCAAAGAAAAAAATGCCCCTATCCATAGAATAAGGAATTAAGCATGAAACGGTACATTGGTCATTTTCATAGAATTTAGTCAAGAATTGTTGCTCCTTCACTGACACATCGTTGATTAATGGCCACAAATTCGATTAAAATCTTGTATCAAATTCTTACCCAAACAAGAGCTTATCTCATTTTGACAAATTTGTTGAAACTTTTCAATTTTTAAATATGTTTTTTCTTGTAGCAAAATGTGATGGGTTCCAAAAATCTCATTAAAATGAGTTCCAAACAATAGCTCAACAATGACATCCTAATGAGTGAACATGTGCTGTCCATTGTTTAATGTTCAAATTGTTGTCCACCTAATCAAATATCAACACTTCATTTGATTTAACATATCATCTATTTTAATTTTTTGACCTTAATAGTTGTTTAACACGATTAAATGCTCTCTCTCTCTCTCTCTCTCTCTCTCACACACACACACACGCACGCACACACAATCTCAATTTTCCCCTCATTAACTTTTCCATATATAACTAAAACTAAAAAGAAATGCATCACCAAATACTGTAATTGAAATTTATTAGAACCAACCAAATTTTTTTATTTTTAAGTGAAGTAAAAAAAGAGAGACTGAAATTGATATTGAAAGATCAGCCATGCGTTCACTAAAACTGTATTAGGTAGCTTTTAACAAAGTTTAGATAGAAATTGTGCAAGCATGTTGAACAAAAATAAATTAGTAAGAATTTCGAAATTCTACTAAAATAGTGAGATTAAAATAGAACAAACATGAAATTTGGGATACATAAACATAGATTTTCCTTTTTGGTTATGAAGCAAAAAAGAAGACAGAAATTGAACTTCAAGCATTTCTTTTAGAGTGTTTGGTGGTTCTATTAACTTTCAATTAGAGGGAGTGATAAATGATTAAAAGGGTACCTTATGCAAATTGAGGAAAAGGGAAATTGAAATTCTGCAATTTGATTCTTGTTCCTTCCTCCAGCAACGTGCAAATTTCTTGAATTGGAATACAAGAATGTGAAGGGTTTTATTGTGAAGAGAGTGGTGGGTTAGTGGTGAAATTAGTGATAGTAAAATTAGTGCATTTGGCCAAGGCTAGATTCGCATTTTAATGCATTTTCTGGATTTCTATTCATCTACAACTCAAATTCTAATGTTTATATATATTGTCCATGACTTGTATTTATATCATGATATTCACACAACGTTTTAAGAACTTAGATCGTAAGTTGAGAGTACGGGGATCTTGATTTATAAATATATTCATTATTAGTTATAGTCAAATTCTCTTCCTCTGCGCATAATTTTTTGTTGTCTTAGGTTTTCAAATAAAATCTTGGTGCTCTTGTTTGCTTTATTTATTTCATCTTGCCATTATCTTGTGGTCAATTCACAACAAATTGGTCTCAGAGCAAGATTGATATTATGCATGACAATGATGAAATACAATATTCTGTCATTAGATCGCAACATGAGATGTATTCCATGGCAGGTGGAAACGTAAGTGGTTCTCGTGCAAATGAATTAGGAGGAAACTTTGCTAGGCTTTGATAATATGCCTTTAATCTGGACGCAGAGGATCAGAAAGCTCAATCACAAATTCATCTATATTTATCTAATCAAAATTTTCAGAATGTTTTAAAGGAAAAAAGTGTCACTGTGTTGTGGTTGAAATTGGAGCAGCTTTATATTACAAATAGCTCAATCAGTAAGTTTCATTTGAACCAACGCTTGTATTCTCATTGGATGTTCGAAGGTATGCTATTAGATGATAACTTAACTATGCTTAAAGAAATCGAGGCTGATTTGGAGATATTGAAAGTTAAGTATGATGAGGAGAACTTGACATTGATGTTGTTGTATTCGCTGTCATTATCATATGTGACTTTTAGAGATACTATACCCTAAAATTATAATATTCTCATTGTGGATGAGGTCTATGATGCTTTATTTCTCCAATTGTTGGGATTTTCAGTTTCTCCTTGAAGTGTAGCAGGTAAAAAACTCAAGTCGTGAGACATTGCATCAACCTTTTGCTTCAATTTGAGTTGGGATGCCCATAGAGCCTATACATTACCATCTCCATTGCTAGTGTGGACATCGCTAGCTCCGTCTTTAGCCATGGCTCTCGAATTGGTCTAGAACTCTGCTACCAAAAAATGGGTGGGCATTCTTATTTGAGAAATGCTATTTGGCCAGGGTCATTTGCACATACCCGGCCAGATTCCCTCTTGTAGGCCAAATAGCAATGCTATACTTATTTTTCCAAACGTGGGTCCCCTTTGTTTGAATTTAGGAAAAATTTATGACAACTGTTCCCGTTTGACTTTTGCTAGAGAGATGCAAAGTAAAATATAGGCTGAATTTCATTTTTACCCTTGCCTTACCTGTTCAAAACACGTTCTCAATGACAAAAAGATGGTAAACTGGTCCATTACATCTCACGGCACTTATGATATTTAGAGGTTGTCGGGAAGCAAATTTTTTGTAGATTTTAATGTTTGGCACGGATTAAAATTTGATTTTAATTTAAATTAAAGTCAAACAATTAATATTAATTATATTTTTCATGAGTCTCACAACTTTTTAACTACACATTTCAAATTTTCTATCACAATTTACTAAAAAATCTAATTTTAATTCCAACAAACACCCTCTAATTCTGTTTTCACACGTTGCAGACAAAGGTGGGTTCCATGTGTGCAATAATGATCCAAAGACAGAAATGCCCCTATCTATAGGGTAATAAATTAAGTATAGCACGGTACATTGGTCATTTTCACAGAATTTAGTCAATAATTGCTGCTTCTTCACTCTTCAAATTCGATTAAATCTTGTGTCAAAGTCTCGCCCAAACAAGAGCTTATCTCATTTTGACAAATTTGCTGAAAATTTTTAATTTTTAAATATGTTTTTTCTTGTAGAAAAATGTGCTGGGTTCCAAAAATCTCATTAAAATGAGTTCCAAACACTAACTCAACTATGACATCCTAATGAGTGAACATATGCTGTCCATTGTTTAATGTTCAAATTGTTGTCTGCCTAATCAAATATTGACACTTCATTTAATTTAACATGTCATCTATTTTAATTTTTTGACCTTAATAGTTGTTTAACACGGTTAAATGCTCTCTCTCCCTCTCAATTTTACCCTCATTAACTTTACCGTATATAACTAAAACTCAAATGAAATGCATAACCAAATACCGTAATTAAAATTTATTAGAACCAACTAGAATTTTTTTTTAGAAGCAAAAAAAGACAGAAATTGATATTGAAAGATCAGCCATGCGTTCACTAAAACTGTATTAGGTAGCTTCTAACAAAGATTAGACGGAAATTGTATAGGCATGTTGAACATAAATAAATTAGTAAGAATTTCGAAATTCTACTAAAATAGTGAGATTAAAATAGAACAAAAAATAGATTTTCTTTTTTGGTTATGAAGCAAAAAAGAAGATTGAAATTGAACTTCACGCATTTCTTTGAGTGTTTGGTGGTTCTATTAACTCTCAATTAGAGGTAGTGATAAATGATTAAAAGGGTACCTTATGCAAATTGAGGAAAAGGGAAATTGAAATTCTGCAATTTGATTCTTGTTCCTTCCTCCAACAACGTGCAAATTTCTTGAATTGGAATAAAAGAATGTGAAGGGTTTTATTGTGAAGAGAGTGGTCGGTTAATGGTGAAATTAATGATGGTAAAATTGAGACTGGTGTAAGAGAGAAAATATTTAAATGTGTTAAAAACAGGATTAAGGATAAAAAATTAAAATAGACGACATTTTCATTTAAAATATAAGAAAAATTCGAGAAGCAAAATCAATACACATATTCTATTGTTTTTCTTCTTTTAATAAAACGACAAGTGAGATGTAAAATTGAAAGAAAATCGCGTAACATTGTATCTTGTACCCTCTCAAATCAATGCTAACAATTGGCTAAACAAGCCCCCAGGGCATATCTCCCAGTAGCAAAGGGGAGGGCGGATAGGGCTCAGCGCGGCAGTGTGCAGAGTTCGATTCCCCGCAAGGTAGAATTGGCTTTGTTGCAAGCGGGAGTTACCATATGGGTTAATAGTCTTAGCCTATCCATGTGCTCTCCACCCTGGCTCCTGGAAGGCACATCCTGCGATTTACCTCCTCCACAATGGCCCAGAACAGGATCGGTGAGGGCCCCTAAGGTTGGGTTCAACCTTTTAACAATTGGCTAAACAAGATGATAGAAAAAGTAAAGCCAAGAAAGGTATGTCGATAAGCAGTACGATAAAGGTTTTATATCCACCATTGGATTGAACAAATTATTCAAGACCAACATCATCATAACCAGACAAATCCCAAGATTATCACATTGATATCATAACTCCATATATTAATTAGGTCACTAAGTAGATAATATATTGAAATACAGAAAGGAAGATGGCACTCTGGATAGTTTCTCTTTTCTGTTTCCTTGTGTTCGTCGTATTCATTTGCAAAGGATTCTATAACGCTGCTTCAAGTTCCAGGAAAAAGCTACTCCCCTCTCCGTTGAGGTTTCCAATCATCGGAAACCTTCACCAGTTGGGCTTACACCCCCATCGCTCCCTCCAATTGCTATCTAAACGCTATGGTACACTTTTCTTACTTCACCTGGGTAGTGCCCCACTGTTGGTCGTCTCCTCTGCCGATGCGGCGCGCATGATCATGAAAGATCATGATTTGATTTTCTCAAACAGGTCGTGTTGGACCACCTCGCCTAAGCTATTAAAGAACGACAAATATATTGATTTATGAATTTTTCTGGATAAAAACCTATGTTATAAAGAAATAAAATCATGTTGTCACGTGTAGGCGTCAGCGTTTCTTGTCTCTTTCGTTGAAATTGCTTGCTGATTGAAAGATTTATATGTCTTGTTCAACAGGCCAAAATCAAGCAGGGCGGAAAAATTTACGTATGGCTTTAAGGACATAGTATTTGCTCCATATGGTGAATACTGGAGGCAACTGAGAAGCATATGTGTGTTGCAGCTTTTGAGTAACAAGCGGGTTCAATCTTTTCGTCGCGTAAGAGAAGAAGAAACAACCCTAATGGTCGAGAAAATCAGACAATCATGTTCTTCATCTTCCTCGATCAACTTGACTGACATATTAGCGTCACTTACATATCATATAGTGTGCAGGGTGGCATTGGGAAGGAAATTTCGTATTGGGGAAGAAGGAAAAAAATTCATGTGGTTGTTAAGGGAGGGTGCGGACATGGCAGGTGCTTTCTATGTAGGCGATTACATTCCGTGGCTTGCCTGGATTAGTAAAATCAATGGCTTTGATGCCAAATTGGATAAATTAGCTAAAGTGTCTGATGAATTTTTGGAGGGCATAGTTGAAGAACACAGGAAGCCAATGAAAGGAGGGGTAAATTATGATGAAGACGAAGGATCGGATTTTGTGTACTTATTGCTTGAAATTCAGGCAGAAAATCAGGCTGGTTTTCGACTGGAAACTGATGCAATCAAAGCTCTTATCCTGGTAAGGATCTGACTCTAGAAACAGATTTCCTTCTTGTGATAAACTTGTTATTCGATTTGAATTATAGCCAAGGAATCTCTATTTCTTTATGACAGGATGTATTTTCTGCTGGAACAGATACAACATCTACTGTTATGGAATGGACAGTGGCAGAGCTTTTAAGGCACCCGAAAATCTTGGAGAAATTGCAAAATGAGGTTAGAGAAGTAGCGGGAAGGAAGTTGGATATAACAGAAGATGATTTGGAGAAAATGCCTTACTTAAGGGCTGTGATTAAAGAAAGTCTACGACTTCATACTCCTTCTCCATTGCTGGTTCCTCGAGAATCAACCCAATCCGTTAAACTGATGGGCTATGACATTGCAGCAGGCACACAAGTGCTTGTCAATGCTTGGGCAATGGGAAGAGACCCGTCATTGTGGGAAAACCCTGAAGAATTTCGTCCAGAAAGGTTCTTCGAAACAGACATAGACTTCAAAGGGCTTAACTTCGAGTTCATACCATTTGGTGCTGGTCGGAGAGGTTGTCCTGGTGTTACATTTGCCATGGCCGTTAATGAACTTGCATTGGCAAAATTAGTGCATAAATTCAACATAGCTTTGCCTAATGGAGGAAAAGAGAGTGATATGGACATGACCGAAGGCACTGGACTCAATGTTCATAAAAAGTTTCCTGTGCTTGTAGCTGCCACTCCCCAATCTTGTTAATGCCTAATATGTTACTTTTTGATTGTGTGCCCGTATAGTATAATTATATTGAATATGTGAATAAAAGTGTCATGATCAATTGTGATAATATAAGCTAAGTGCTTGAGGTGAGAAGCATGATATGATACAATTTCTATATTGATCATTGTTCACAATCAATGTATAAAGGTAGACATCTTATACTAAAAAATAATAATCTTGACTATTTTACTATTGTGAGTTTTCCTTATTGTAAAAATAGTTTAATGGTTACACTAATACGCTACAGTATGTTGAATATTCCACGTGTTGAATTTGATTTTATAGTAAGAAATTACACTTGATTTTTGAATATTTTATCTAAATCCCTAAACAGGGTTTGTATATATTTTCTTGAGTTTAATAGTTGTTTGATTCATTAGTGGGTGGGATCAATTTAATTGATCAAATATCTTGATGAATTGGGAACTTAAGAACGAATGAAGTAAAGAACACAAATTCGTGTCAAGAACCTTTGTCCTAAAAAATGGGTTGAGTGACTTCTTAAGTATTTTCTGTTGATTGATTAATGGTTAACAGTGACTAAACTATGGCATTTGTGATTGATTCACAAGACCGTTAAAGAGAATGGGACTTAAGTCACGGAGGATGATTAGAGGGGCAAAACGGTTTTTTTGTACCCATACCAAATTACTGGATCTCAAATAGAGATTAAATACATATACAGTGGATTAGAGAAAAATATTCAAAATATTCATATTTATATAATTGTATATATTTCAAGAGTGCAGTCTTTTACTTTCAGTTTGAGCTGAACACAATTCAACTTGAGCGATTTGTGCCATATTTTCAATTCCATACATTTCAAGCGGTTTGGAAGTTTTTCAAATCAAACCATTTTATTTGTCAAGCTAAACTAAACCAAGCCAAGTATTATTTGCAGTTTGCTTCGATTTTAATCCATAGATTAATTAAAATAAGTTAACATATAAGTTTAAATAAGAAATAATAATGTTAAATGTTAAATAACATTCATATTTGTCTAAAATTCGAAATACAAAAAAAAAAAGACAAAAAAATAGTACTAAAAGGAAGACAATGGCTTAGGTATGAATTCACCGCTGATCATTCAAAATTACATATCCCGTGATGAGAATTTCTTCCTCACCATTGTTCAATGCGCCAGATCCACATCAGATCGACGCATACCAGTTTGCCTATGACTATATATTCATCCACAATCCCATTGGTAATTCTAATTAGTAAGATGCGCCTCGAAGTATTAGGAGACCAAATCCAAGGTACTTGGATGTGTTGACAACAGAACATGGAGGACCAGTTCAAAAGGGATGTTGACGTCGAAGTTGGAGCAATTCAAAGGGAAGATAATTGCCCACCAAGTGCTTGTCTTTGGGTGCAAGATTAGGAAGTATCGTTGAGTTTGTTTAGGAGTTGGTTAAGTTTATCTCTTTAAATAACAGATAGATTTTGCTAGATATGTCAAGTTCAACAAACTCAAATTTTGTGATATTTACAATTTGATAACTACCGATAAAGCCAAAAAAAAAAATACAATTAGTTTCAGAAAGTAAAATTAAATATCATATAATAGTTAATCAAGTAGTCAATATCATGATATAAGTTACACGTTTTACCTTTATGGATAAACATTAATTTAAAATAATATATTTTTCGAAACATGTTGACATGACCAGTCCCTAATCACCTTATGCGCTCGAGACATGACGCGTGCCGATGGTAAATGCTGACTAGATACTAGATCAACCATCAAGGCTGACTGTAAGTTACTACAAAATATGCTCCAAATCAAATGTTTAAGAAAATAATAATGCAATGGGCCCAAGTTAATATATATACACACTTAGCTCAATTAACATAAATAATCTAAAACAGTCATGTGGAGATGACTTCTAAATCAACGGGCTCTTCAAAGCTCCCCAAACTCGATTGCTTCTTGGCAAGAAAAACGTGAAAAATATATATGAGTTGATAACTCAGTGAGTGGAGAAGTTCGAAAATAATTATACTTTTTCATTTAAACATTTTTCTTATATATAGACATTAAGTTCATATCGTTTAGTAATTCACACGATAGCCTCATAAAATTTATAGCCAAAAGAATGAGACATTCTCATAACTCTGTAAATATCATCTCAAATCCACGATATAGTCATCAGCTGATATCTATACTATCATCTCATCTCATCACATCACATGTGATCCACAAAAAAGTACTCTCTGACTAAAATTTGAAATTCGCCCCTCGGGCCAAGCACTTTGGCCACGGTCCTTTGGCCCCTTCCATGTACGAAAGCGGGTCTCTAAGACCTCTAATAATCAATTCTAGAATACGGCCATGGGCCCTCAGTGAACTATATGTACATGGTCATGACCCCTTCATCCCTGATCGACCCCTCAATGTAGTAGAAAACACGGCCAATGCCCCTCTGTGAACTAGAAGAAGTATATAATCACAGGTATCTTTCTAATCGATCTCAATATCACATATGTCTCACATTCTAACTCACAAATAATCTATATCCAAACTTTAAATTCCACACATATCATAGTGAAAGAATCTTTCCATACTAATTATGTAATTAAACAAATAATTCGCATAATCACACATAATGTAATAGTATAAGTACCTTATTACTATTTGAAAATATATAAGTTTTTTTCACTCACAAATTTATGGATAAACATCTGGTTAAATTGAAAAGACTTTCCAAGCTCTCACGTCACTACCTGAAATAATGATATAATTACTCAAATTAAAACATGAAAATTAAATTAATGTAAATCTACCATGCAATTCTTCAACTCCTATATTTATTCTTGCATCTCTATTTTCGTAACTTATTTTCTCTTTGATTATTGGCAATCAATCAACTTACATAATCAACTCCTAAATCAACTCCATTAAAGTACTTAATTCTTTCTTAAAATACTATCTTATACACATACTGTAATGTCCCCGAAATTTTGGTGGAATGGTATTTAATTTTGTATGCTATATTTTAATGTTTTGAAAATTTAGGGACTAAGGTATATATATAAAGTAAATTTTAATTTTATTTGGGTTAAAATATAGATATTGAAGGAGCAATAATAAGTATATGAATATTGGGCTCGTTGGATAGATCGTAATTAATCACGCACATTAGACTCAAGAAAAAATTTATTCGGATAAGTTAGACTCAAAATATTGAAGTTTATAGATCTTGCCACTCATTATAATTGTTTTGAATATATAAAAGATGTAACACGTGTGAATTGGGTGGGCTAGAATAAGGTAAATTCTTCCCTTATTGGTATGTATAATAAAATATATATTATATCAACTTTTTTGGAAATAGTAAATAATAATTATGACCTTGTACCCAATCATGTCAGCCATCCTTGATTGAAAATAGGTAATTGCTTTAATTGAGTGAAATGAAACGTGTATAACAAAAAAGGAAAATCAGTAATTTGGGCCACTGACATGGAAAAACGCGTGGTTTTGTTAGGATATAAATATTGTAGATGGTATATACATAGAGAATCCCGATTTAGCTTAATAAGTATCTCACATCAAGGAAAAAAAAAGGAAGAGGGAGGTCTGAGAACGTGAAGCTACTACGAGGTGCAAGTGTTTTGTTCTGTTTAAATTATTTTTTTATGTTGATAAATTGTTATACTTATGAAAGTTATAAAGTGATATGATGATTATGATATGATATGAAATGGTTATCCGGTACCAAAGATATGATATATTATGAGCTCTTACCGATTTCCAATGATATGATGACGGTATGATTCTTTTTTAGCATGATCTAAATATTTTATTCGGGATCGCATCACTATTTTTGTGTCCTACTGAGTAGGGGAGTAAGCGGTCCGATTTTACCGATTTTTAACAAATTTTCAAACCAAACTGTTTAAACCGGTTTGGAAAAAACTCAAACCCAAACCAAATCATTTTAAATGGTTTGAAAAAAACTTAAACCTAAACCTAACGATTTGGTCCGATTTTAAACCGTCGGTTTCGCCGTATATTTTTTTGCTTGTCTACTTTTACGCCTTTAATTCAATATATATTTATATCTTACTAGTTACTAGCAATAAATCTAAAACAAACTAGATATATCTATTATAAATTTAAGTACTAATTAAATCAAAGTGAAATAACAATAAACTTAAACATAGTTTTTTGTTCGCCATTTTTAAGTTAATGGCATTATGATACCGTTACAATAAAAGTATACTAAATTAAATATAATGCCAAAAACATTAATGATATCCGAATCATGATCATATCTGCAAGAAAAAAGGCTATTGATTAGACAGAGAAAATAACTAACCACGATATTAAAGAAATTCTTTATAATATCTAAACATAACAATTACACAAGCTTACGATTGTATGTTGTTACGAACTCAGTTTCTCGCATATACTCAAACATCAATTGTTGTCACACATGATTCATCATCTGCATAGTCAAACAAATGCATTCATTACATCATCATAGTATTAGATACTAGATAGATAAGAGAATCTTCAAAAATATGGTAATAGAAAATATGAATCACCTGCCACAACTTTTATTGAGTCATCCAATGTCTCCACTTCATCTAAATATTGGCGCAGCACTAGAGGCTCCTTCTTAGTTTGCAACCAATTCTTTCCACATATATAAGCCTCAACCATGTGTGCACCAAATGAACTCCTAAAGGAATCAAGTATTCGACTTCCAGTTGATAATGCAGACTCAGAAGCAACTGTAGAAATTTAAATCGCTAATACGTCTTTGACAATTTGGGAGACAATCTTATACTTAAGAGCATTTATTTTCCACCACATCAAAATGTTGAATGGCTTCTCAGTCAAATCATCACATCGGTCAGACAAGTAATCTACCAAATCATGTTTCTCCAACCTAGCATCTCGATTAAGTCTCGCTTTAAAGATTGAAGGGATGAGTCTTGAAATACCCAAAGCAGGTTGTTGTTGACTTTGACTATCAGTTTGAGACATCTCATTTGACGGTGGAGGCATCATTTCCTTGTAGCAGTTATATAACCTATGAATTGAATTTTCTACTTTTGCTAACATCTTCTTAGCAATTTCTTCATTATACATGATTTCAAAGCCAACTTTAAGTAATTCCAACTTGCATCTCGGGTCAAGAACTGTTGCTATGAATAACAAATCATTAAACTTTTCATAATT